AGTATGAGACTTGAAACATCATATAGATTCCATCACCAATGCGATGCCTTCACCCACAACAGTCTTCGAAGAACTTAGACGCGATCAATTCCTCGTCTACAATAGTTGACGATCGATCATTACTTTTGTTGCGAATAATTCCTTTAATCATATCCGCGCGGTCTTCAATTATATTCTAAGACTTTGTGATATGTAGTCCAACAGCGCGATCGATTTCTCTCAATGCTTTAAAAGCTAATTCATATTTTTAGTTATGTGTTTCCTCAGTGACGGTCTTCCAAACGATTTTTCATATCGATCACAAATACTACTGTTTGTTACACGATACATCATGTATATATTCCAGAGGATGAGTCACTTAACATTAAAATATCCGAATACGAATGAAGCCGGAGAAATAATATTGAAGTTCTTTTTCTAATGTATATATATATATATATATATATATGCACTCTTTTCATTTATCTACGTGAAAAGAAAGAAAAAAAACACGTAAGAAGAATATCAAGTTATATTTGTAGAAGTTTTGCTTGCAACTAATTACAAGCAAAACGAGATGAATAATATTCAAAGATATTCATCAGCATACTTGCCACAGCAGTCGTTAATATCATGGTTTCGTAAGAGATGAATCGGCAACGATCGATTCTCTCGGTAGAAAAAACGCCATCGTTCTCTGTATAAATAACAGAGAACCGACCTTCCTCGACGATATATGCAATCTTTGTCATTCGTTTTCAGTCTCGAGTTACACATTCGTCGGGGTGATAAATTTCTTTCGACACCATTTCCCGGCAATTTGATTAACTTCTACAACCGTAGAAGGTTCAAGTCGATGGACTCATCCGTGATTTGTTAATATATACATAATATATGTTGATGTTGCATATTCTTTAAGATCTATGGCCGATCGACGACCACGGCTCGAAGTGTTCGCGAGGCGAAAAAAATCGATCAGAGATCTACGATGGTGGATCTACGATCGATTGCTTTCTGTACATTCTTAGCCATGAAAGGAAAGGAATGCCGCGAATCCGTCTCAAGATTCTATGATACCTGGTTCCAGGAGACTCAACTTGGCCGGAGGCGCGTCCGTATAGTTCTGTCTGCCGCGCAACTTGACGCCACAAGTCCATAGTCCTTCCTGTTCCGCGAGTGCGTGCGATAACCTGACGCTGCAGTCCCTGGCCTCGCTTCCGGCAGCCGGAAATTGTTTCACCACCACCGTGGTGTTTGAATTCACCGGCGTCAAGGACCATCGACACTGTTCCACGGCCGACGAGGTCACACAGTGAAGGAAAACGCTCCCCCCGGCTGATATTTGGATGTCTTGGGAAAGCTCTGAGAACTTCACTTCGTCTAAAAATTGAACGTAACGATATATCTGGAGTAAGAAGTATCGACGAGGAGGAAAAATGTAAGAAGATTCGACGAAAACGAATCGAATACCTTGTTCGAACACGGTGAGCTTCACGAATGGCGAGGTCAGCATCGTATTGAGAGAACTGATCGACACCTGACAAGCCCACTGACCCTGTTTTTCGGCATACACTGGCGGCAACTTCAGCGAGCAATCTCTACCAAGGTCACCGTTGCTTGTGTATTCCTGAACGACGATTTCTGGCTCGTTTCCGTGAAGTGGTTTCCAGGTCCACGTACATTTTTCCACGCGGCTGCTCGTTACGCATTTCAACGTGGCCTCCGTACCAATTGGCACGGAAGTGTCTGCCGGCATTTCAACGAAGCTGACTTTGGCTGAAACGCCGATCGAGACAAATTAACTGACTAGACACCTACGTTTTCGTGAGAAAATGCACAAAGAAATCGTGCACCGCTTGTTGATTTTCGGATGACTGTTTAGAAGAAATTAGGTATTCGTACCTGTGGGTAACAGGCTAACAGTCGCAGGTGGCGCTTCGTGAAGAATTCCATCTGGTGACAGTCGAACACCGCACGTCCACAGCCCTTCCTCCTCGTACAGGACATTCTTGAACCTCACGGAACAATCATGATCAGCATCTTTGTTCGGATTGAACTTCTTGACTAACAGAGGTTCTTGACTCGAGTTAGATGCCCTCCAGGACCACTCGCATTGTACCACTGGCTTGTTAACCAGACATCTGAGGAGCACCGATTCACCAGACGCTACTTGAATTCCTCTGGATAATTGTACGAATTCAACTGCGAAACAAAATCAATATCTTCTCTAATTTTTTTTCACGGATTGTACACGTTGCCAGGGAAAGTGTAGACAGAAGTTCAAATCGCTAAGCTAATAAAAAAAAAAAAAAAAAAATTCGGAACTCTCACCTTCTGAAATGAGAAATCGAGTGGGATTCGATTGCGTAAACGACGAATTCGGATCGATCCTGGCGCCACAGGTCCAGTATCCTTCTTGCTCCGACAGCACGTTCTTGAATTTGATACTGCAGTCGGTGCTGTCGTTACCGAAAGCTGGGAATCGCTTCACCTCGAGATTCCACGGTTGTGATTGATTCAACTGCCTCCAGGACCATTGGCATTCACGAACAGATGATTTCATTTGGCACATTATTTGCGCCGAAGATCCTGCTGGTACCTCGACCATGTTATCGAGCTTCGCAAATACGACCAGGGGATCTGGACATTTACAAATATCAATATTCATCGTGCTGTCTCTTTCCTTACTTAATTGTTAGCTAATGGACAAGTTTTGAGTTTCAGGGAATTAATTTAAAGTAATTGCACGGATGTTGAATTAGAAGGACAGAAGAGACAATCAACATTCCATACTCTGATGCTCATTAACGATGCTCAGCTTAGCAGGTCCCGTGCTGGTGAAAGGATCATTCGTGGAAGTTCTCGCGGCACAGCTCCAGTATCCGGTCTGTTCGTGCTTCGTACTCGAGAATCTTACGGAACAGTCGTTGCTATTGTTCCCGAAGGCAGGAAATTGTCGTACCGGCAGTGGATTGGTAGTCGGCGTGGCTGTCGTCTGAATCACCGAGACTGTGGTGGCTATAATAACTACGATAAATACACGGCAAGTGAATACCGTGGAAAACAATGGAGCTGGTATCTCGCTGTCAAGTCTACACGTCATAATCGAAACAAATAAAGAAAAAGTCTCACTTTCAGTTTTAATATTTTTATCATAAAATCGAAATCTGGTATCTAGAAACCCGATGAAGAATAAATTTATTCTACCATACATGTAGTTATCTTCGAAGAAACAGATAACAATGATAACTAACTAGTGGCTGGAGTTTCGCTGATATCCGGAAGTGGCAGGTGGACCGGCGGTAAAGGTTGCCAGGACCATTGACACTCGGCCACAGGATTAGCAGTTCTGCACGCCAGAAGTACGGACGAGCCAAGTTCCGTTTCCGTGTGCTCCGGAACGTCCACGAATATTACTGGGCTCTGTGGCGCCTTTGTTCCTGGCAAGATATCGTCCATCGAGTGACTTTGAATTTCGGGACCCATAGAAATCGGGCTGACCGTGGTAACATTGATCGTTGCAGCGTCATCAGATTCTTCTGGCACGGGTACACCTGTCGATAGATCGCCACGATGGAATTCGAGATGAAATTCAATGAAATTTCGAACTGTGTACAGTAACTTAGCGACGTTTAGCAAGATCGTAGAAAAGGAAAGTCACGTATTAAAATTGCCTCATAGGTTGTCAAACGTGTTTGAGAATTCCAGAAATATCTTAAATGACGTGTAGTAACAATGCGATTACGTTCCGTCAAATTGTTAACTGGCTTCTCATGTAAAAAATTTGTTTCTGACAGCATCGAATTGAGGAATTCGCAGAATAATTTTGCTAGAATTTAATTGTCCTTCGGAGTACTTTTTAAAAGTTTTGTGCGGCGGTTTTTATTGTCTAATGCTAATGCATGTTCATTTGATTCTGGTTCCAGTTTTCGTGGGTTTCGAGAGGACAAAAAAAAAAAAAAAAAAAATAATCAGTATCCGCATTTCGATGAAGAATCGCAGCATGATCCGAAGGAACTCGGTTGAACATATATGTGGGACACATCGGGCAGGAAGCTACGACAGTCACGTAGACAATCGCCTTGCGTTGCGCGTCTGTCGCCATGTGCAAATAGAACCAGGGACGGATCGATAATAAAATTGTTAAAAGAGGGAACCACGGAGAATTAGCGTTGTAAAACTCGATTCGGTACACTGTGTTTAGAATACCAAACTACAGAATCAACTATTCTGTAACAAGTTCTACAATTTCATTGACAATCAAATTGAATTTCGATAATTCCTTTTTCCCATTTTCACTCGAGATTTCACTTTTTCGATCTTCTTTGTTTAATCATTACGATATCAGAATTTTCTAGTTAACGAGCAAGTTCTCATTAAACGTAAGTTGCAGACTCTAAAGACTTGATAGAACTATCTCGAAATAGCTCGTATCGTATAATTGTATCGAAAGTCGGCCGGTTTTTGTCCGGCGAACGATCACGGTCAAATTTCTCTGAATGAAAGAGCTATCGTGTGCACCGTTCCACACTTTCTACGTGACCATGGTATGTAACACGCGTTCGTGCCGAACTTGGTCCTTGGTGATGTGTCGTTACGTTCGCCGTGCGGCGAAACTCGTCCTCAAGACCAGCAAAGAATGGTCGCTGACACTGGAAGGTCGTTTCCCACTTTACATTGACATACTCGTCGATTCCGCGTTTTACGACGAATGTACGCGTGTTGCTTTCGTGTGTTAGTAGGTGACAACATAACTTTATCCACTACGTATAAACTTTTGAGTTTGTAGTAGATACTTAGAATAATCGTGAAATCGTACTGCTAGATCCAATGATCTGATTAACTCACTTTTCTGAGTTAAAAGTGTTCAGTATGTGCTTTTCAACGATCATTATTTTTCTACAATTGATAATTGGAAATACACGTGGAAGATAATACATAGAATAAAAGAGATTTTTATTGAAAAACAGTGACTTTCGTACAATGTAGTTATTAAGTCGTCGCTTCCTCGTTTTCTTTCAATTTATTTAAGACTAGATTAGTTATTGAAAACTGTGACGTGGCTAGTTTCCATCCCTTGTCATTTACTTTCGTGGACCGTGAGAATTATTGCATAAGGTGGTATAACACGTGAGCAGGTGTTACCATCTGATTTAATATTAATAAATCGAACGCAGTTCGTTCCCAACAATTTCGCCGGTTACCTCTTTAAGTTTGTCATTGGAAAGAACAATGAGATTCGATGAAAAATATTCATCAAGGGTATGATGAGTGAACAATGAATTTCGAAACGAGAGAATATAAAAAAGAAAAGGAAAAGCAAGATCGGACGCGATAGCACAGCATCTAAGCCATTTCGTACTCATTCAGCTAGTGCAAGGCTACCGTATACTTTCTTCGTACTTTCTTACTTTCTTCATCGCGTCCTTGATACTCCGCCACGTAATTTTCGATCGTTGTTCGCCGCAATTCCATCCAGTTTTCCGACATAATTTCACACACATCTCCTCCTCGCCACGTTGATGTCAAATATCATTATGGCCAATAGCGAAGGTAATTCTTTTTCAATTATTATTCACCGGTTTAACCGTATGACATGATCTTTTTGTGGGTCGACAAGTGATTCAACGGTCAAGTGAACTGCGAATGGTATTCTACCATGAAATGGAATCCCATTAATCCGATTAAAAGATCGGTATTTCAAGAATTCGAGCTGGCTCAGCTACACGTCCCGGATGTATCTTCGCAGGTCTCGCCGTGACTAATTCCACAACAATGGAATCCCATCCCAAGATTATCGACCATAAGACAAGGCCAGTCGTTTCTTGTGACGAGGAACGGCCGTAAGAAAAGAGAGGAACGTAGAAAAACGAGGATTCGATCGTTCTGTAATTAAGAACAAGCCGATGAACGCGCAACCGCGGTCGCTAACCTGCCATCGATGTCTCCGAGAGGGCAATTAGAGACAGCAGCCGATTTCATTTCTTACGTTGCGAAATTTAAAATACGCCTGTCGGGCGTTGTCTTTTTGCGAGATTTTCGCGTCAAAAATTACTTGAAATTCCTGGAAACATAGGCTTGAGCTTCGTTTCGGAAAAACGAAGATAGTTCCGAAAGAGCAGCGATCGAACGATGACTCAGGGAAATTGAATTTCAGGAGATACTTATAGTGATACTTATGGATTATCGGGGAATTATTTAAGCAACGTTCTTGAAGGATATGTGTTTTAAGAGAATGCAAAAGTTTGACTTGTTGAAATGTTTGATTAGTATTTTTCGCCAATGTGTACCTACTTTGCACCAGGGTTTCAAGAAACTATTCTTCGAGGAAGAACGCGTGTAGATAATCGTTCCGGGATAATCTAAAATATTCCCGGTGAACTTTCAAACGATTTATCAACTTTTGACGGGCATACTTTTGAAGTAACCTACTTATGTGTTTCTCGATTGTGAAATTTGTCTGCAATTATTCTCTGCGGAAACGAACATCGAATGTTTCCAAGCTTAAACATTAATGCTGTTAAATTTTTCTCACTAACAAACGAAGCCACTCGCGATCCTAATTTCCCTCCAAGGAATCTTCCTTTTTATAAATTACTAAAATTGAAAGATACAAACGTATCTGCGATTACAGAAATATAATTGACGTAAGACTGAAAGTCAGTGGAGCTGACTCTCTTGCTGTTCGCAACGTGTCTTATCTACACATACGATTCAACGCACGAGATGAAATATAATTATACGTCATCACGATTGGAAAGAATGAAAGATCCAACTTCTATATACTTTTCATGTTACTTTTACGTTACTGCAGCTGGTTAACGAGCAACACTGATATCATTTCATTCTCGATGTCTTTGAAGAAATACCGTTCGAGGAAACGATTGCCACGGTCAAGTTTCCCGGAAAGGTTTCGACCTCGTCTCCAAATCGATTTCAACTAAAGGATCGTTGGAGAAAGCTTTTCGACAGGCGGCAGGGCAAAAATTCTACGGAAGCATGTTTCAAAGAAGGATGATTTTACAGTAAAACCAGAAAAAAAATTTCTGTTCGTTTGAAGAATTTTCCCGAGCTTCCTCGTGTGTTTTAGAGCTGTACGTTAATATAATGAGATCTCGATTAACCGCGGTTTAATCGACGCCGAGGCAGACCGGTTAAATTCGAGACTCGCGAAGATCGAATTACTTGAATCCACTTTATGTATGCCTCTTTTCAGGCATGTATCGTTTATGCATTGTATTAAGCTTATATTTAAAGCATTTCTGGGAATCATGGGAAGATTCGTTGATTCGTATATTAAATCTCCATCTTTTTTTCTTTGCATATGATTCGTAAACGAAGATCCAAGAATTCAAAGTCGAGGTTGATCAAGAGAGCACTCGATAAATTCTCGTTGATTGAAATTATTTCTTAGCCAGACTAAGTAAACTCATAATTTCCGCGTATCTTGAGACGAAGACTCTCGAGAAATATATTACCACAAAAGTCAGCACGTGTCCGATCGATGGATTCTAAATTGGCGAGAACGATGAACGATCGCCTTGAAGCGCCTTGAAGATTTATCAAATTGTGCACTGCGAAATTTATACCATTATGATGCGATTTATTCGTTGTTAATCACAGTATTATTGTTATTCAGTACTCAAGAAATCGTGATCACGTGAAGAATATTATGAAGTTACAGAAAATGGAGAACATCGAACAATTGGAAATAGTCGAGCGTTACGTAAAATTCGAGGAAAGAGGCGAGAGTTCGATGAGAACGGAATGAATGTGTCCGTGGATACATAAAATTCAACGGCGTGGATTTCAACGCAGGATCGTACGATAGTTCCCATCCCAGGTTCCTACCCTTCCCCACGTGTTTGCATTCCAGAGCGATGTTTCACTAAATGCACGCATTGCATCGAGTTTAACCACCCTCCGCAGAAGAACCAGTTCTTTCGGCTCGTGTGAGCACGCCGCTCCCTGGCCATGCTGCGCATGCTTTACGAGAACGCGTCCAGAGAAAAACGATCGAGAAAAGATCCATCACCGAAATTCGGGAACATCAGATTTTTATCGATATTTCACGTTCGATATTACTATCACAGCAATTGATGATTGTTCTCGCAAAAGTTTCCCCGCATTGTTATTCGTCGGTGAAATAGTTTAGCTGCATCTCTTTCTTTCTTTTTTTCTTTCTTCCTTTGTGTTTCGATATTTTCTTCGATATCTTTAATATATTTGATATTTCCTTTCTCTCCTTTGTTTCTGCTCCCTTTTCATCGCTGCATCGATTATTATTACAAATTGAATTTCTTACGTGACTTGTCAATTATACGGCGAAGAGTAATTCTGACGAGTAAACGAACGGATTCCTCTTTCTCCGGGTGATTCACGGTACATGGTCCAAGATCGTTTCGAGTTCTTCACGCTCGATCGCTTCGATTTGTATCCCAATAACGAACTATAGTCGAGATGCAGAATTTCTTTACGGTAACTAGCTAGCCGTGTTATTCGAAATTTCAGTCCCACTTACTTCTTTCTTATCTTCCATATAACGTACTTTTATAATTCTCTCATTACTCTGCCGGAATGTTCTAATGAATAATCTTTTGCAGAATTTATGTATTCGCATAAAAATGAACTAACTGCGCTTTTTATGCTGATTTCCTTTCTAGTAAATAATTAACATGGGTTTGGAACAACCAACGATGATTCCAAACTGTTTCTCAAATTGATTCAAGTTCACATACTAGCAGAGAACAGGGGTCAACTATGACGTACACTATATTATATTGTCTAGAATAATTAAATCTATTCAAGATATCCTACGTAACTTCAAAGCAACTCGTTTGATCCAACTTGAAGATCTAGACATTCGTTAGTTACAATTACATTTCTAACACTACTGAAATCATCTAGAGCGATTTGCAATTGTTGCAAGAGTGGAGAATTCTAAGCGTCTTGTTCTGATTACGCGAATAAGTGCGTTCGAGATCACACGCGAGTGATTTCATGACAGGCAAAAAAAAAAAAAAAAAAAA